TGTATATATATATATATATATATATATATATACATATACATATACATATACATATACATATATATAAAATATTCTTAGATATAATTTGCTGCATTTTATAATGGGCCCTTCATAATGGCCTTTTATAAAATTGGTTCAGTCCTCGAACGCAGATCTGATTTTCCATGTGGCCCTCGACAAAAATTAATTGCTCACCCGTGCTTTAAAGCAAGGGTCTTCAAACTTGACAGCTTTAAGACTTGTGGACTTCAAATCCCAGAATTCCTCCTTCATTCATGTTAGCTCAGGAATTCTGGGGGTTGACGTCCACAAGTCTTAGATTTGCCAAGTTTGAAGAGCCTTGTTTTAAAGGAAGAAACCTAAATCTAGAGAGGCTCCACCTACTGTGGCTGGGAAAAATGAGGGTAAAATCTGTCCTTCTCAACTATTTATGAGTGTTGGAGTCACTACTATCTTTTATATTACTGGTTTTGGCTCTGAACAATGATTCTTAGTTAGCTGAATGTTTAGTCTTGGTTTACAATTCTTGTCTCTTTCCATGTAGGGGTTTATGGCTCAGCCATAAAAATAAGTTATTTCTGCATATGATATATTTATGATTTGTATGTGTGTGTGTGTGTGAGAAAGAGAGAGAGAGAGAGAGAAAGAGAGAGACAGAGACAGAGGGAGACAGAGACAGAGACTACAGCACTAAACCTTCCCTAGCACAGGGGGCTTTTAGATCAAAATCCGCCTCATTTTGTAGCCATACAGCCACACTATAAAATGTGGAGAAAGCTAGGATAATACCTAAAATTGAATTTAGTTCAGGTTGATTGAATGCAGCTTATATTAGCTACTTATGTACTTACTAGTATTCACCTTCAGTTACATTAGACTTTTCAAGTTGATAGACTTAGAGACACTTTTGGGGCCCATATGTTGCCTGACACTGGATTAAATAATTTAACTATCTTGTGCCTTCAAGTGGTTCTCTAAAGAGTCTGCACTCTAAGCTAGTTGTGTATACATGATTCGTCATATTGACATTTTCAGCCTACAACAGCATAAAACATTCTTCAGAAGTATTTAGGAAAGATTTGTTGCTTCCTTAATGGCCATTGTCAATTTATTTGAAAAGTCTGTTATTTTCCTCAGCAAGGTCTTGTATGGACAGCTCATAATGTTTATATATCTTGATGGTGGAAACTATCCAAAGATTCCCTGGCTTTGGCAGTTTTGATGAACAGATGCACACAGTGACTCCTTAGTCTTCTGACCATCAAATCAAACTGAGTCAACATGTACGTCACCCAAGCTAAACTTAGCTCATTCAGAAAGAGAACTCTTAGTGCAAAACTATAATAAGACACATGATAATGCCATTCTTAAAATGTCTTCTGTGTCAAACAGCTCCTTGACATA